TTGAAGTACGCAAGCTTACACGGGTCATTAAAACTTGTCTTATTGTCAACGTGCTGAACGGTAAAGCACACACACACGCAAACGCTGTGACAAGTGTGATTTAATTAACCTTTTTGTGTGTGACAAGGACCTGAGGCTCTAGTCTTAAAGTGAACTCAATGTAAATCCCACGGGAGAAAGTGGAAATGATCTCATTGTATGAAAGAGTTCAGTGAGCTTGCAAATTCTTATTGAGCAAAATAGTTGCATACTGATAAAGACAACAGCATCAGGGAGGCAAATAGTCTGTGCAATCCCTGCTCCACCATGTAACCTCCTCCCATTGGATGTCCGTCATTCACCCAAATCTTAACTGAAGGAACACATACTAACCAAATGCAGCCAAATGGATCATCTATGTAAAAATTCATGGACTCCTTATGTCTGTGGCATTAAAAATCTCAGATTCAAATACTTACAGAAAGAGATCTATGAAATGATTCATCTCTAATCTAAGTAAAATCGTGATGGTGTGTAAATATGAAAACCTTAAGTGCATGATCAACCATTCAACAAGATGTATCTATTGCAGAACTAATCTACCAAGCAATGTTTTAGGGCACAGAGATATATTGGTATGTAAGACACACAAGGACTTGAAAATGGTTATTTTCCTACAGCCATTACAAATGGGAGCCTTGCAAAATGTGGCCAGGAAGATTCCATTTCTTTTTTTTATTCATTGGAAATCAATTGAGCACTTACTATGTGTCAGAATCTGTGTTGATACAGAAATGCAGAATTGCACCACCAAAAAATAGTCCTAACTGGAATCAAAGTTTTAGCCCAGGGAACAGACAGATATTAAACAGCTAGTTCTGGTGGATTGCAACCATTTGTAAGCATTAGAATTAGCACTGGCTGATCAAAATGCAGATTGGCTGACCCAGTGTCACCCAGGAAATTCAGATGCAGATAAAGCTAGCACCACCTTGCAGAACGTATTTAACTCCAATTGGAATAGAAAAGTTAGAAGAATTACACAAGCGCTGCGAGGGCCAGCTTCTCCATGAGGACTAGGAGGTATAGGCCTGGGGGCCTGGGGCACTTCTAGGAGCCAACAAAAATGTTTTTATTTTATTAAAAAGCTAGAAGGAAGAGTGATATAACAATAGTGAACCTATAATAATAAACCAGTCTGGATTATATTTGTCTTCATGCCAATGCAGTTGCAAAAATGATTTTTCGTATCCTTTTTTGGAGGAAGGGGCCCACAAAGTCTAAACTATCTTGGGCCCTCAACAGTTATGACTCAGCCCTGGTGCTGTGGGAATATACAGACAAGGGACCCGGCCCTAAAAGTGGATAAGGCTTCCAGGGAGAAGGGACAGTTAGCTGAGACCTGCAGGGAGAACAGAAATCAACTATGCTGAAGGCAGGGTGAGAAGGAATGAGCTGGGAGAAATTAGATTTATAAGGAGAGGGAAAGGATATGCAAAGGTCCTGGGGTAGGGAAGAGCATGAAAATATGTGTAGCAAAAAGACAACAGTAAGGTTAGAGAAACTCTGGCAGGGGGAAGAATAGTGTGAACTGAAGCAGGAACCAGTCAATGATGGGCTTACAGACAACAAAGAAAACTGTGATCCTGGTTTTTCTCCCCTTTGCCTGATTTCCTAGTTTGCTTCCAAGAGGACACAAACCTTTCAGATATGTTGATTTTTGTCTTATTGATTTGCAAAGTGTACACGAGTATTTACTTTTAGTTATCTTCTGAATACTAATTATCATCTAGATTTTTGTTTGTTAGAATTTGGGGGTACCTCTGAGAAAAGAAGGAAGAAAACATTCAGTGTTTCTGCATACAGAATGAACCAACATTTTTGTCTTCCAGAAGTTCCAAGATCTTACAGCTAGGCAAGATGATCAAGTTGTCAGTCACTGGTGCTACAGTTGGGAAGGTTCTCCAAAGCTTTATGTCTGAGTAATATTGTAAGAATATTCATGATGATTTTAGTTTTAAAGTACTTACTCTGTTCCGGTAACTGAGAAAGAGGAGAGAAACAAAACTGTAAATACAGTGATGTTCACTTAATATCACAAGCACTGGAAGCACAAGGCACGTGAAACTGTCACATTGTGTCACACAGGGCCTGGGGTAAGCATACACCCTTCACAGCCTTAAGGAGGGCTGGGAACTGGGACAAAGGAAACATGCAGTGTGAAGGGGGCAGCCAGATCCATTTTTAGCCAGGTGCAGTGTGGAATGCTGGTATAAATCGATGAATATTCCACATTTTCTAAAGAAACCAGAAATCTAGATTTTTATGTGAAATCTCTCAACTTTCTCCACACTACAGACCAATCCAAATGCATCTGTGGCCACAGTCAGCCTGTGAGCCTTAAATTCAGGGTCACTGCTGTGGCTTTATGTAAATCCAGGGGGCACCATTCACAGAGCAGTGTCCTGGAGTCGGGCAATGGGGCTGCCTTGCCTCCAAATCACAACTTACTCATTCTAATATCCACAGGAATTCAGGCCTCACAAGTGTTCCATTCTTAGCTAGAATGGTGCCTGACCCACAGCAAGCACTCAATATGTTTGTTGAATGAATCAAGATCTTGTCTTCTTTGCAAAGGTTTGCCAGGGGACCCTAGTCCTTTCTCTGCCTCCAAAGCCTTCTTTTTCAATACCATCCGTCCATCCTATCTCCTCAGCTTATAAAGTACATGAGTTTGGACAAGTTACTTAGCCCCTCTGGGCTTCTTTCTATTTACTCACCTATAAATGGGAATGGTAATTAACTTTTTTTTTCTAAGTATAGTTGATATGCAATATTATATTGGTTTCAAACATATAACATAGTGATTCAACAGTTGTATACATGAAATCCTCACTCCAACTAGTGCAATTACTATCTATCAACATAGAAAGATGTTACAGAACCACTGACTTTATTTTCCATGCAGCACTTCCATCCCCATAGTCAACTTAGATTATGACTGACGTTTTTGTGCCTCTTCATATCCCTCACCCATTCCACCCACCCACCAGTAATAACTCTAAGTCTTGTTGTGAGGACTTAATTAGTTAATATGTATAAAATACTTAGAACAATGTCTGGCTTATTATTAGTACTCAATGCATGCTAGTTAGTAGTCGTATTTAATTGTATCTTATATTTTGTTTATCTCTCAAATTGAAAAACCCTCTATGCTGGCCATATGCTGATTCTATGACTTTTATCCTGTTTCTTTCACAGCAATTAGTGTGATACAACCTATAAATATCAATAAATATTAGGCAATTGATAACAATAAATTTTAATAATTATATGAATTAGGATCAGAATCAGTTGTGAATAACAGAGAAACACAAGATAAGAGTTTATTTCTCCCACAAGAAAAAAAGTTGGATGTGGTCAGTTTAGGGCTATGTGGCACTCCATCATGTCAGGAACAGGGTTCTTTCTGTCTTACCACTTCACCATACTTTCATGTGACTTTGGCCTCATGATTCAACATTGCTGCTCAAGCTCCAGCCATCAGACCACATTCCAGCAAGCAGAAAAAATGGGGAAAGATCAGAAAAGGAGACATTCCCATTTAAAGACACTTTAGGAAGTCATTTATACTCTTTCCTCTGATGAAACAGTGGTTGGAATGCAGTCATATAGCTACCCTTAGGTGTAAGGGAACTGGGAAGCATAGACTTTTATCAGGGTGGCCGTATGCCAACTAACAGTTGGGAATTTTACTGCTGACAGAAAAGGGGAGAGAGATATTGGTCTCAGTTCTGGAGTTCAGTTCACTATGAATGGCAATGATTAACACTCTGGAAAGAAGCTGGTAACATGGGCCTGGCTGCGGTTCCTATAAAAATGCTGCTTTATCTTCCACTTAAAATTCTAATAATACTTTTAGAATTGATGGCTTTGCATTTATAAATGTCAGGTTTCACTTATAATGGGATTCCCTAAGGAAGAAAGACATATATATAAAACCGGATGATTAAGTCGTTTTTGAAAGTTTTCTTATAATGGACAGTTTCAAGGAAATACCACAACACAGAGAAGAGTTTAATAAATCTCCATCTACCTATTACACAGTTTCAGCAACTATCAACTCATGAACCTCTTGAATCATCTGTACCCCCACACCCTCCACTATGTTATTTTGATGCAAATCCCAAATATGATATAATTACATCTCTTGATATTTTAGTGGCTCTAAAAGATCAGGACTTCCTTAAAAAGCACAGCCAGTTTCATTACCACCCCTTACATAATTAGCAGGAGGTCTTAAATATCATCAAATATTTTTGCCAGGGTTTAAATTTCCCTCATTGTCTCATAGATTTTTTTTTTAAGTTCATTTGTTTCACTAAGAATCCAAAAGAGATCTTTGCAGTGTGACTGGTTGACAAATCTCTAAATACCTTTCAATCGATAGCTGCACATTCAACATAGTAGCCACCAGTCACATGTGCCTATTTAAATAAATTAATATTAAAAATAGAATAGTTGGTCCCTCAGCCCCACAAGCCACCTTTCAAGTGTTCCATAGCTACACGTGGTTGGTGCCGACCATATTGGACAGGATGGATATAAAACATTTCCAGCATTGCAGAAAATTCTACTGCACAGCTCTGGTCTATAGGATGCTCCTGACCCTTTTTTTTTTTCCTCTCAGTTCATTTGTTGAAGAAGCTGGGATGTTTGTCTGTAGGGGTCCCTACATTTTAAACTCTGCTGATGGAACCTTCCCATGTCACTGAACACGTTCCTGCATTTCTCTGTACTCCGAGCAAACTGGGAGTTAGACCTACAGCCTTGATCTGATTCAGGGTGGATTCTTTGGTGCCGTTTAAGATGACAGGCAACCAATTCTCAGTTATCGTGTTCAAAAGCACACAGAGAGATCAAAATCTGGAAGGATGTGCACACAACATTATCAGAAGTTATTTTGGGGAAGTCGGTTGACTGTAGTTTTGCTGATCTGTATTTCGTTATTTGTCCCACAGTGAGCCTACCTTCTAACCAAAAGCAAGTAAGAGCTGCTATTGATCGCAAACAATGTGCTGGGCACTGTGCTGATTCACTTGCGTTAGCTCCGTGACTCCTCGTGACAATTCTATGAGGTAATTATTATCTCCGTTTCGCAGTGCACACTCAGGAAGATTAAGTAACTTGCCCAAGGTCATACGGTCCGTGTTTGGTGGAGTCTGGATTTAATCTCTCAACTGTCTGATTCTCCAGGGATTCTGATTTTGGTGAGAGTGGTGTGAGCCTGAGGGACATAATTTCTGGAAGACTCTGTCAAGTTATCCTGGGAACTGAAGTCCGTGCCTGCCCATCACACTATCATCATCCACAAACATCTCGTGTTCCCGTGCCAAGCCCTAGTCTCAGCTGAAAAGTATTCTGCATCTGGCACGGATGAAGCCTGATGCCTGCACAGAACGTGTGCTCAGCAGAGGGACCTGCCTCTCTCCTTCTGCTCCTGGAAGACAGTACTTGAAATAATATCACCCCTGCTTGTCCGGCAGTCCCCCTGCTTCGTGTGGAGCTCCCCCTGTGTGTCAGGTATGTTAGGGACATCAGGACAGGGTGGGGCACCAAGCAGATAAAAGTCCCTGCCCTCATGCATCTCATAGTTGGAATCTGGGAGGAGAGAGAAGAAAGAAACAAGACAATAAATTAAATATAGACAAAGTCAGATGGCAATAAGCTATAAAAAAAACATGAGAAATAAAGAGAGAGAGAGAGTATGTGCGTGTGTCTTGTATGTGTGTACGTGTCATTTTTGAGAGGATGGCCAGGGAAGTACTTTCTAAGGCCCACTGCCCATTTTCAGACAGCTGTTAAGAATGGTGTTTCCATTTTTAACTTGTTGGAATAAAAATCAAAAGAACAACATTTTGTAGCACATGAAAACTACAGGAAATTCCATTTCAGTATCTATAAATAAAGTTTTATTGGAACATAGCCCTGCTCATTTGTTTCTTGTCTGTGTGCTTCTGCATGACAATGGGAAGCGTGCGTATTGCCAAGGAGACCATGTATCCCGTGCCTAAAATATTATTCCCTGGCCTTTTATAGAAGTAGTTTGCCAAACACCTCCCCTAAGGTGTCATTGGAAGAAGGACCTGAAGTAGGTAAGGGAGGAAGCCATGCCTTTATCTGAGCAAACATCCCAGCAGATGTCACAGTACATGCAAAGGCTTGTAGGATGAGGTAGGGTCATATCTGGTACGCTCTTGAGTGGAGCCTGGCATGGTGGGCACTCAGATATTTGTTGAATACTTTAATAAACGAATGGATAAGGTATCATTTTCTAGTTTTTATATTTTTGCCTTCTCTGCTGAAAAGCCTACCAATCTACTACCTAAACCCTTGGTTTAGAAATCTTTGGTGTCAATTGTAGGCTTAAGATCTCAACACTAGACACACATGCAGTCAAGGAGGGGGCTTGGGAGCAAGACAGTGCATCTTCAAGAGGAGGGCAGGAAACAGGCCTGGGCTGGGGAGGCTTAATAAGATAATCAGGATGTGTAACTGTGCAATAAGGCAAGTAGGGAGCAGAGGAGGGCGACGGCTGGACACACCACTTCCGGTTCCTTGCTTGCTTTCCCTTATCATTTCGGGGAAAGGGGCTTCCTCTTGGGCGTTTGACAAAGCACGGTTCGGTGTTTCTCTGCGTGGGCAAAAACCAACAACAAGGGAGGAGATTTTCCAGGGATGTGCATGTTGCAGCCAAAGTGACTTTCTGTGGGTCTCTGCCAGAAAGGAGAATCAACTCCCATCTATTCCTAAAATACAAAGCCTTAGAGAAAAAAAGAGTGGGGGTGAGGGGGGGGGAAATAGCAGTTAGGTTGAAAGTACAGAATTAGAATGGCTGCTTGCTGAAACAGAAAGGGGAATTTTTAGGGCAGTGAAACTGTTCTGTAGGACACTAACAGTAGCTACGTACCACTATGCATGTCAAAACCCACATGCATCTACAGCATAAAGAATGAACCTTAATATATTAACTGTGGACTTCAGTTAATAATCAGATATTGCTATTGGTTCATCAGTTATATCAAATGTACCACTAATGCAAGATGTTAATAATAGGGAAATTGTATGGGGCAGGGGAAGAGGGTATCTGGCAACTTTCAATTATTATCTGTTCGATTTGTCTGTATACCTACAACCACTTTACAAAAATAAAGTCTATTAAAAAAAATAAAAGCTTAAGAGGCACACTTTTTAATAAGAGCAAAACTTGTAAAGATAACCCTTCATTTCACTATTGTATGCAGGGGAAATGGAAACATACTCAAGCATAAATGGCAAACAACGGGCAGCCACCATTCATGTGTTTGGAATCGATCCAGGGCTGTTGAGTTTGGACAGCGCGTGGCTCTGTTTTTGCTGTTACTGCTTTTAAATGTCATTACTCTGTCACCCAGAGAAAGCCCTCAGAGCACTATGACTCTTTAAAGACAATATCAAATGTTTCAACAACTGACAAACCTCAGACTTCCTGTATTTCTGTAACCTGTAGTTTTCCCTTCCTCCTCCTTTTAATTTGTTAATGATCTCTCCAGCCACGGGCTCTCTGTCACACGTCCCTAACTAGATCAGGAGATCAAAGGTGAGGCTTGCCTAAGTCATCAGTGTAACTCACCCAGGTAGCAAGCTATTAAGAACAGACCTGCAAGGTTTTTGATTCAGCACCCAGAAACTCCTCTAGCGCAAGGGGTAATATAAGGCCCGTGTTTCTTTCCGCACCACCACGATGCCTTTCCACCCCTGTTCCCAGGGAAATCCTACAAGGCCTCCGAGAAAGCAGAGATACCCAGCCTCCCAGCCCAGTTCCCGCCTTCAGAAAGGAATTTCACTATTATCAATTGGGCAAAGGACACAAATCCTCCTCTTTTCTTTGACAAGCCTGTCTGTTTTTGTTTTTCAGAGAGATCTGTTTTCTCATGCATACTTTCCCCTCCCAGTTGTCACACCTTTATGTGGATTTTCTTTTTTGAAGAGCGTATTCCTTATGTCATTTGTTTTGCATGTCTGGAATGAGGAACCTTTTCTGCTCATATTGTTAAACTCTAGACGAGGCGCTCGTGTGAGAGATCACCTCGAGCCTTGGGAGGAAGTGATTCACCACAATACTGTAACCGAAAGCGTTCTGGCACCAGGGAAGAAGCAGGTCATTAACCGCGTTACCTGCCCGAAGCAGCTACCGGAGGCACCAGAGCCTTCTCAGCCCAGCCTGGCCTTCTGAATTTCCCCGCGCCCAGCTTTGCCTGCTCCCATCAGGTTTTGGTCTTGTTCTGTGTTCTCTGTCTGAAAGCAGTTGATACTGAGAACTCATCCTCCATTTTTAATCTTTAAAAGAAACCTGACAAATTTGTGATTTTTAATCATCCACATTTGGTCTGTCTACTTCCCAATGGTCCTTACCAGGCTACTATCTCATTTTGCACTTAAATATTTTGCCCTTAAATGTGTTGGGTAAATGGATAAATAAACCCAAGGATGTTTTGAGTAAACCCAAAGTTGTAAAAATAAAATGTATCTTTTAAAAAATAAAAATAAATGTTCATTTAAACAAAAAAGCACTAAAGCAACATGTGGGAGAGGTGAACACCGGTCACACCTATCACCAATAAAAAGATGTCAAACAAAAACCAAAAAAATGGGAAAATGAAAAAATGAAAAATGTGTATTTTTCCCCCTCTGAATGATTTGGTGAAAGCAGATCACAGACATACCCAGAGGTTCATCATTCTTTGTGAAAAGTGATGAGAAATATTTTGAATCTTTATTTAGTTACATTTCACCATTGGAAATTGATCACTATGATGGAAAATTATCTGAATATTTTATGCATTGAGAGTTAAGTTGCTACTTTTATTTCACTTATTCCACATTGAAACAACCAGATTTGATCCATGTACTTTGAACAAATATGCTGAAACTAGACAGGGCCACAATATGATTTTCATGGGCCTCTTTCATCAGTAAAAAATGATAACAATTATATTTTGTAACTATACTGGTGCAAAAATGAGCATATTAATATTAAATGTCCAAACATTTTCTTCAATCTAAAAGGTCACTTTTTTCTTCTGATTTGTAAAGACATCAAAACTTTTTTGTGAGCCTACTGAGTCCATAGGAGAAGTCTGCCCTGAAGGAAGATCATTTTATAGAAACACAGATTAAGCAATCACAAAACCCAATGACAGAAGACACATATTTTTAACATTAAAACAATCTGTCGACGAATTGTCACAATTATGAAAAATATTTGTACTTGTTAAAAAAAGAAAAAGAAAACTTCATTACAAAGTAAAAGCAACTGAGTGTTCAAATTGGGGGAATATAAATAACTTCCGGTTTCTCTGTTCAATGGGACATTATTTCATCACTAAGAAAATCAGAGTTTGCACCAGATAACCATTTTTAAAATACATTTGAAGTGCAAAAAAAAATTTTTTTTAATGGATTTTCTCTCTAAAGTTGTGAAAATCTGTGGAAATGGAAAGCCGTGTATTTAGTGTGTAAGCTAGCCTTGACTTTTTCAAACTCTTTGGAAGCATATGGGTGATATCTATTGAACTATAAACTATGTATACTGTTTAATTCACAAAATCCACTTCTAGGCATGTGTCCTATAAATTCACTCCCCAAAGTGGGCTTACATAAAGGCACAGATACTCATGGTAATCTTGTAACAGCAGAGAGTTGAAAAAGAAATTAATAACCATTGTGAGTGGACTGGTTATATAAAGGATGGTCATTCCATCTGCAGAATACCACACAGTCATGAAGTAGAATAAGGTGGACATGTAATAACATGACTCATTGGCAAGAATTGTTATATGTCCTATTCCTAAGCCAGTGATTCTCAGTGAGGCACATTTCTGTCCCCTAGGGGACATTTGGCCATGTCTGGAGGTATTGTCGGTTGTCACAGCTGTGTGTGTGTGTGTTGGGCGGCGGGGAGTTCTAGTGGGCAGAGGCCAGGGATGTGTTAAACATCCTGCCCAGAACAGCACCCCCGCCTGCCCAACAGCAGAGAATGATCCAGCTCCAATGTTAAAAGCTCTGTGGCTAAGGAATCCTGTTCTAAATCAATCACGGGCAAGGAGAATGGAATATACAGATTTGTGTGCTGAACGAATCAAGTTTTACCTTCTGGGACCAGAGTGTGTCTAGCCTCCCTTCTGCTGTGTGAAATCTGCAAAGGGTCAGGATTCAGTGTGCAGGGAAGAATAGAATGGTTATCCTGTTGTGTGAACAGTCAATAGTGTCTGCCACACACATAGATAATAGAGGGAGAGCAATAAACCCCAAGAATATTTTCACATGGATATAAAAGATTGAAAGAATATGTGCCAAACTGTTAAAATCATTAGCTGAGAAGCAGGAGAATTATGAGCCCTTTTTGTTTTCTTTTTTGTGCGGCCTCATATTTTAAAATATTTCTGTAATGGTCATTTCTTACCTTTCCTATCAGAAAAAAAAACTTACAAAAATCACTCAGTAAAGTTTAGGTATAAATCTGGTAGGAATCTAGTTCGTAAAGTTTTTTTTAACTATGCTGCTATTACTCAAAGTTAATTGATGACATTTAAGAACCAGAGTGACTGTCTATGAAATCTGAATAAATCCCACATTTTCTGACAAACGCTTGATTTTCCCAGATTACAGCTGAAACTGAGTTAAGCTGGTACAAATATTCAGGTTGTTTCTTTTTCTCTTGCTTTTTAAAAATTTATTTTCCATACATAACATTGAAGGGGAAGTGGAGTGAAATGGGCATTAGAAAGCCTGGCTTCTAGAACCGTTTGTTAGGCATGAGAAACCGGGCAAGTTGTTCATTTATCACAGTAATAACAGTTCGCAAAGGACAGGAAATCACCACCTAGAAGTGCTGTCTGCACTCATGTGCACTGCACCGTTATTTACAATAGGTAAGATATGGAAACAACCTAAGCGTCTATCAAGGGATAAATGGATGAGGACAATATATATACTTCATAATGGAAATTATCTGTATATATAAGATGAAATATTATTCAGCCATTACAAAAAACAGAAAAGAAATCCTGCCATTTGTGGCAACGTGAATGGATCCGGAGGGCATTATGCTAGGTGAAACAAGCCAGACAGAGAGAGACCAATACTATATGGTATAACTTATATGTAGAATGTTTTTAAAAGTCAAACTTAAAGAAAGTGAGTAGCATGGCGGTTGACAGGAGCTGGGGGGTGAGGGAAATAGGGAGATGTCAGTCAAAGGGTACACATTTCCAGTTATAAGATGAATAAGTTCTAAGGGTCTAATGTGTAGCATGGTGACTAGAGTTTATAATACTGTATTACTGTATATATTGAAATTTGCTAAAAGAGTAGATCTTCAGCATTCATACACACATACACACATGGTGACTGACAAGGTATACAACTGCGATTCATCAGTTTGTACACTTTAAATCTACCATATTATTATTTGTCAATGATACCTCGGTAAAGCTGGGGGAAAATAATGAGAGCCAGTCTATAACCTGTTGTGTGCTGGGCACTGCTCTATGTACTGCACAGCCAGCCATTCGATCACTGAGTCGTCCTCAGAAACTTTATGAAGTGGGTGCTGTTCTGATCCCCATTTCACACAGGCACACACACAGCCCTGGCACCTTGCCAAGGTCACAGTGCCAAAAGGCACATTGGGGATTTGAACCCAGGATTCTGGGCCCAGAATTCATGCTCTGGGTCACTATGTCAGCAGGTTTTGCTGGGTTACGACACTGACCTCCTAACTCATCACCTACTTAAAGTCTTGCTCCCCACCTATCTGTCCCAGCCCCTTCTTGCCACCAGCGTCATTTTTCTAAGATGATTTCTGTCACTCACCTTCTTGGAATTTCTCAGTGGCTCCTTTCTCATGCAGGAGGGAATCAAACTTCCAGGCTTGGGGGCCACTGAGGCAAGGTAGGTCACCACCAACTCTCTCAGCAGAGCCTGGGCACTAGGGGGCTGAATTCTACCTACAGATCAACTGCCCGCAGTGTGCCTTACACAATGATTTACGTTTTTAAAAAATACTTTACATCAAAAGTCCTGGAGAATGAGCAAATAGCCACACAAATCCCCAAAAAGGGACATTCTATGGGACAATTGGCCTCGCCTAGTTATCAAATCAAGGCAGGGAGAATAAAAGGGACAGTGCTAGATTAGAAAAATCTTGGGTGACATTGACAACCCAGTTCATGTCTGCGCCTGGATTGCATCTTGCTTGGGATAAACCAAGTCGTTTTTTGGGTCAGTGGGGAAATTTGAATACCTACCATGTAGTACCAGGTAAGAAAAAAATATCTTGGAATGGAAATTTGGAGATTGCAAACTCAATAAACTCAGGCATGATTTCCTTTTGGTAAAAAATAGATGGATATTTGTGTATGCATATAGAAAAAGATCTGGAAGCATCAAGTGTTGACAGAGGTCAGAGTCTGATGTTTTCATTTTTTTCACTATTGTCTAGCTCTATTTTCTAACTTTCTACAAAATGCATGTATACTGCACATGAGATAATGAACACTTTTTTAAAAAAATAAAAATAAAGTAACCTGCAGACTTTTTATGATCAAATCCAGATTTTTGGCTTATCTTGAAAAATTGAAGGAAGTTCCTAGATTCTCTTCCAGCTCAATTAGGGGAAGATAATATGAGGTGCCCCTTTGGATACAGCATGAACTCTTTGATTCAGAACCACCCCATCTGGCCTGTTCTATCCATCCATTCATTCATTCATTCATTCATTCATCATTCAACAGATATTTTTTGAGGGCTTGCCTTGTACCCAGCACTGTTCTGGACACAGTGAATAGAAGTATGTTTCTGCCTTCATGAGCTTATAGTCTCCTGAGGGTGAGCACATAACAAACAAATGATTATTTAACACACATTTCAGGTGGGAATGCAACTCTGAAGAAATACAGAGAATCATGAGGCCAGTGGTTTTGTCTAAGGATGCAGATGGACAATCAAGACTGAGAATCGGGCTAGAGAAGGGGGCTTTGGGGGGAGGTGGGTGAGTGTTCAGCTGGTGGACGGGATGGAAAGCCCAGGGACTGGGCAAGGTCACCGTCAGGGAGCCCAACCACCTCTTTTTGCTGTGACCAGGCAATGCGTACTGCTCAGAGCTCCTAGTACAAGGCACTCAACGGTACTCTGACAAGGAGAGAAAAATAACCATGAGAACACATGGAGGTCAAGAAAGCCAGCATGAGCTAAGTGGTGAGGTCCTCAGAAGTGAACTCCAGGATAAGCCAGACTCAGCCTCCAGTGACAGGCATCCCAGGACCAGAGGAAGTCAGCTCAAGGGCAGGATGTTGGTCTGAAGCCTGTCAGGTCAAAAGCTTTGACAGCACATGCGCTTTGCTGCCTCCCAGGAGAGCAAGTGAACAGAAGGGGCCGAGCTAACCCAACCCAGTTCTCCTTCCAAATTCAGTCATTAGACTAAACCACTCCACCCACCCAGGGTGGGAGGTGTGAGAAGCTGAGAGAGACCAGGATAAGGTGCC